CACTGCCAATAAGGGTTCGGGCGGTACGACCAGCACAACACCCACACCCACCTCCTCGTCCACCAACAGCGCGCCCGACGATCACGAACAGAGCATTATTTGTGTCAATTATGTCTTAAGGTATTGTTCATCCATTCAATTGCTATATATTTGCATTTAATTAATTGAATTTTGTATTTGTTTCATACGTTAAGTGCTATCGAGTTCAACGATGTAGTGATGGACACGAGTCAACTGAACGGAGGTCTGGTGGCCATCACTCCGCCCACACCTCCCGTAATCTCATCGCTCAACAAACGAAACAATCACTCAATTAAGAGGTCTCTATCTTCGACGCCGTCGCCTGAGTCGTCGTCGACGGCCACAACTCACCCGAACTCCCAGTTAAGTCATTCCCAACAGACGAGTGTTGACCACAACTCGCGTCCGCAACACGTCTCGCACATTAGTCCCGCGCCTCCGCCGCCGCCACCGGCGCCGCAACCGGTGGTCGCAGTGACGCAAACCAATGGCTCGACCGGCAGTTCTCCCGTCGACGCGATCGCCAGCGAAAGTGCCAAAAGACGGCGATTCAACTCTAGTCCAGTGCGGCCGTGGAAGTCGCCCTCTCCTCCCCCTCCCAATGTGTGTCAGGGCGTTATCGGCGCCGAATCAGCCAACTCGGCCTCCAGTCTCTTACGGCATATAAGTGTCATCAGAGAGACGCCTCCCATATTGAAGCCCCAGGTGGTGGCGCCAGCATATCATCCACACCACGCACACCATTACCACCATTTGGTAGACCCGTATGCGGCCGCCTATCATCTCTATAAGAATGGCAGCGGAGGGCCGCCGATGACAGCACAACCCGCACCTCCCGTCCCCTCCTCTGCGGCACACCATCATTGGGGGGCTTATAATTAATATAACCTTTTCCCCTATTTTCACATTTACTCCTTCTCTCTCTCTCTCTCTCTTCAAAACAATTACACTAAAAAATAATCACAAAAAGTATAATGATTTTTATTGTGGAAACTTTTTCTGTAATTATTATGTGAAATAAAGAGAAATGACATCAAACACAGAAT